ATTTCTTTGATTATTATTTAAACTTCCTTCGGCAGGACTAGCATTTGACTGTCCATTTTGTACATATACAATTTGTGAATTAGTCACTCTGTCGCCTCTATTACCGTATCTACCGTATTCATCATGATCATCGTAATGCCGTCTGCCATAGCCATGGGGAATGCCACCTCCACCACCATAAACCCTTCTGTATCCACCATAGAGATGTTCTTTAATAGCCTGTTTCAAATCCAAAATTTGTTGTAAGGTTGGCGCTGCCCAACTAGTGGCCAGGAAAAATAACATTAAGAAAATCTGTTAAATAATTTTTTATATTATTAATACATATTTCTGTATAGAGTAAAATATTTGCAAGTACTTACAATTTTATTCATTTTATTCATCCACAGTAATAGTTTCTCTAACACAGGCTCGACTTGTTCTGACAATAGCTGGCAGTCTTTCGGTTTATATATATGAAGAACAGGTAGCGACACTGTGTAAATAATGTGTTACAATGTTGAGTAGCAGTTGTCAGTATATTAGTAATACTAAAAGAATTATTCGGTATACTAAAATTTCCTAATTCTACAAGTACACACATACATATTCCTTAGAATTACATATTAATCGTATGGACGCGAGACAAATTGATTCGGCACGCTTGCGCCTTAATAAACAATGTATAGTTTGTATATTCAAGGACCTTAATCATTAATGGATAGTTTGTATATATTATGCATGAGCATATGTTTGATCATTTATACGTAGGTATGTTCATGACTGAACGAAGTCACTTGACGAATTTACTTTCAAAATAGGTACAGAGTGCGTACATCACTGGAATATTTTCCATTTTAAGAAGAAAAAAAAATTAATCGATTCCAATATTTCAGGAAAAAAATTATAAACAAAATTACACATTATTTTCCTGACATTTTTCATGGAACTCATTTTTGGCATAAATACAGTAAAATCAAATTAAATTTTTAGCGTCATTAACAATACACTGAAAAAAATAAGTGATCTGAACTCTAGTTTTTCATATATTTATATTAAGTAAAATAGAATTAAAATTTATCATAGAAAAAAATGTGATATAAATATTTTCCATATACAACGTATATTACCTTTGACTGTCGTTTTATTATTGAATAAAAATATGAAACAAAATATTAAGAAATATATTATAAAATAAATGGATTATGTTATAATAATAGTAGAATAGGAGCTCATGCTCTCAGTGGTGCAGAGTATTGTGACCTCAGCCAATCTTCTGCACTATAACTAAGTTCTTAACTGACGTGAAGATAATCTGCTTGAATATCACATCTTAGAGCTATGTGCGAGAGAGTGTCTACGCAGGGGCACCCAAACTTCTCAATACTCTAGTATTGAGGAACTATGTGACTCTTATGTGAGTACCGGGACATGAAGGGCATGAGAGCAATGAAATAGCAGAGTCCTTAGCAAAGAAGGCTGCATATACTCCTTTCATTGGTCCAGAGCCTTAGTATAAGCAAAATAAATGTCTAGTTCTTTATACATAGAATAAAAAGCAATAATGTGTGACATATTTAAATCTAATATTTTCTATTTAACGTGAATGAATGGAGCAAGATACGGACACGTTAATACGGTTTATAAATATTTGTGGTTTTGAACACATTCAATTGGTTCATTGGCGAAGAATAGCTCATTCTAAGTCTGATCAATCTTATCTTGGTAGAAAGCACTCTTTGTCACATTGTAAGTTCATTGATTTCCGTAGAGATATTATGTCTTCTTGCATAAGACATTTGAATCCCTAAGCAACGTTCATTCATTTGTTCCGCTAATATCAAATTTCAGCAAAGAAGTTTAGTTTAATTTTATAAAAGAATTTTCTTATATATTTTTCTTCTGAGTAAACCATAATATTTACATCAATGTTTTGAGCACATGTTCGACCACAAAAGATACAAGAACTGATGAATTGATTTTCTTTTAAATGATTTATTTCAACAAAAAAAAATTTTTATTAGAAAAGCAACATAAAATTAATTTTTTATTAATTTAAATTAAAGAAACTATTTCTTATTTCCGATTTGCAAGTATTTTCTTGACTAACCTTCTTGACTAATAATATGATGCTTACAAAAAATTTTTAATGAAGTTTTAGAATGGTGATAACCCAAACTAAGTTCTAAATACCTCTCAAGATACACACTTAGGCGCTTGTGGAACTGAGAAGATGGTTAAGTTTATAAATGGGAATTTTTTAATACCTGAAGCATAAATGGTTTAAATTGTCGCCTTAGTTAATATCCTAAGAAGTACCCACAACTTATTAAGTATTAACAATTTTCATTGTTTTCTAATTAAAATTTTAAGTCTCTTTCATTTAGAAAGCTTGAGATATCTATAATATATAAGATGTCTATAAAATATCAAAATATATAAAATATTTAAAAATTTATCTAAAATGCAAACTCTCAATACCCCATGAGTCCGTATTTTTATTTTCAAGAAGAGCTCATAAAAAAATAAATTCAACTAAACCGGAAGTAATAAAATCAATTTTTAACAAAATCTGTACTGCATGAATAAAATATATAATTGCTTACCTGGATGTGACTGATATGGTATACGTATACATGAATATAAATTATGCACAATAAAATTTTAAAAATTATTAAAAATTAAATACCATATGCAAAAATTACCTTTATCTTTATCTGCCATAGATACATTTTAGTCACAAACCGCATATCTATGTGATTAGTTTACAACTCTGCTTTTTACTTGTTCTGTATTTATTGGTTCGAAACTCCACTAAACAACTCCACGCATTTCTATGTGATTAGTTTAAAACCTTGTTTTTTACTTGTACTATAGTTATTGATTCAAAACTCCACTAATCAAAGCCAAAAATAATATTTCAATGTTTTCATTTGGATAGATCATTTTTATCCAAAAGACTGCAGAACAAATGCATAATGGCATAAATATTAAAGTGCTGCATCAAAACATTCGTTTTTGCGGTCATTCGTTTTATTTTCAAATGTGTACCATATTTACAAATTATTTCTAAAGCGAATACGAACGAATAACAGAAACGGTCCGATAGAATTCGTTTCCGCCGCATTCGTTTCAATGGAATGGGGGTTGATTTGTTCTCTATAATCGTTTGTTTTGAATTTTAAAATCAAATAAACAAATATTTTAGAGTATTTCAATCACTTTTAGAGTATTTCAATCACTTTTAGAGTATTTCAAATAATTCTATTTTTGCAAAGTATTTTGTGTGCGTTTGGTTGCCTGCGCAAAAGTAAAGAAAGTTGGATGTGCGTAGAGATTTGCAATAATTGCAACAACAAAGTACGTAAATTAGGTTTAATTTTCTATTATTTTCAATGCAAAAGTTGTTTAAACAGGTAGATCTAATGCAAAAGGTTAACTTAAAAAAACGGTTTGCGCAGAATTTCCTTCTTTGTCGATAGTTTTTTATGATGTAACAAAATAAATTGCTTCACATATTTACCTTTTCCTGGAAAATAATTTTATGCATGATATGGTAAAAATATCTATTTATGACAAGAGAGATTTTTAGAAATTTCTTAAGAATTCCTTCAGAATTCCTACTTTACAAAGTTTCTTGTAAATTATTTGCAACACCAGCAAGTAGTGCATCTTCGGAAAGGGTTTTTTCAGTTGCTCGGAACTTAATATCAGAAAAAGGAACATTGATTTCATCTAATCAAAGATCTATCAATCAAATCATGTTTTACACAACAATCTTGAAAAAGAGGAATTAAGTCAGACGATGCTCAACATTTAATTTGAATATTAAATTAAATTTGTGAACTGTAAAAACTGTAAAAAAACTTATTATAATTTTTTTAAATAAATTTTTGTTCAAAATTTTTTTTATATTTAATTAATATATTAAGTCATATTATATATGTAATCAACAAATTACTATTATCAATCAACATTTTAAATAATATTTAATTAATAAAAAAACTTAAATAAATAAATTTGGGTCTTACTATTTAAAAACACATAATTTTTGTATGAACTGAAAATCAAATGCTTAGAGTACTCCCAACTACTTCAACTACTTTTAGAATGTTTAGAGTTAGAGTACTCTAAACAAACGAAACAAATATTTATTCTATTCCATTTTGTTTTTATGCCTATACATTCGTATTTGTTCGTTGAGAGTGAGAGTATGCTACCATTCTAAACACAATAGAATGCTTTGAAACTGAAATCAAATGCGCGCGTGCAGTACTCTAATAAATATAGAAATATATATGTATGGCTTTATATTTCTATGTTTTTGGTAATAGTGCCTTCCTATCCTCAAGGCAAAATATATAACTGCATAGGTCGCAAGAGTTTGCGGGTTGAAATTTTTATAGACGTTATGTGGTTTAACTAACTTTTTGTACCAGAAATTTTATATGAATAAAGCGTAAGCGTTTGTCGTTGTCAGTGAATATGGGCGCGGCGAATTTAATTGCTTACGGGTACCAAATTTCTTTGATTTGGCTCTAGTAATTGCAACATTACTTCTAATAGAACCTATTATCAGTATTGACGGTCTTATTAAATGATTTTGTTCATATTTTTATTATTTATTTATATAAATTATTGAAAATTTACAAATAACATTATATTCGTCCTTATCTTAAACATTATTATGAAATATTATAATATATACAGTACCGATTACTCCAGTTTATCCAATGACATATTTAATAGACAGTTTGCAATTTGCTAGTAATCAGTTTAAAAAAGTATGTATATAACATTTTTAATAGCATTTTTATTTATAGCAAGATTTCGAACAATAGTGAATTGCAACAACAAAATTTTATTATTTTTAATTAAATGAATTTTGACTGACAAGTGTATCCTGTTAAGAGTATTGCCAAATATCAATCATCAGTCCTCTCTTGGAATAATTTTTTCTGTTTATTTATATATATTTTTAATTATATTAATTTATGAAATAAATTAAGAAAAGCGACTCAATCTGTTATCTTAATATTTTTCTTATTTATTATATTTATTAATTCTAATACTTAAAAAATAATTCAAGGAGTTGAGACCCAATGATCCCATTCTTGAATTTCATTGTATAATGTTAGACCTGGACTTTGTGTACTTATAACTTGTAAGCCTCCCAATAATTTATAATGACGGTCCAATTCACCTTTTTTAACTCCACATTCGAGTAGTTTCTTAGCAGCGTCCAAAGCAGCGCGTGTAGGTAATTTTTCTAAAATAATTTTTTATATAAATTATTAAATAATTTTAAGAAAATAAATGTATAAAATCCTAGCAATTTAATAGTGTTAACTTACTTATAAAATTTCCAATAAAAGCAATACCAGTTCCGTTCATGTTATAGCCATATGAATGCGATCCACGCACACCCCAACCGGTACCTTCATAGACGTTGCCATCATTACCAATAAGAAAACTAAAATTCATGATATTCATTCATTATTAAAATATATGATCAATAAATGCAATAATATTTATCATACAAATAAACATTTTTTGTGAGGACATTCATAAATCATTATTTCTATAAGTTTGGATATACGTAATAATTTATACGAAAAGTTAAACTTTTGTAAACTTTTGTATATTACGTTGGATATTTATATATAAGTTATTTCTAGTTCAGAATTGCAAAGATCTGTTAGGAATCTATCCGTTAAGCAAGTTAGACATTCTATTTGGTAATGAAAGAGTAAGCGGCGGCAAGACGTAATAGACTTGACTACCTTCGAAGCAGGATCTTAGTCTAAATCAAACAGGTAAAATTAAGCCCACAGCAATCACGAGATTTATAAATAGTCTAGAATTGTTTTAGTTGTTTTAATATTTCAAGTAGTTTGTTGACTCAGAAGAAGTTTATTTTGAATGAACAATAATTAAACAAACTAATTTAAAATAATGCATATATGAGACTAAACTCATTGGATCTAGGACCGACTATGTATATGTATTAACTCAAGTGTACAAATAATTCCATTTGTCAGTGCTGCCAAAACAAAAGTACGAGTCTGCAACACCTACTAATAATTTATATTCATTTGTTTGTATTTAGTTATTTGATATATAAAATAATTAATTTTTATTAGGGACACTAATTAAGTAATAAATCCAAATAATTTTAAAGTAGTTTTCCACTTCAAACATTCAAGCGCGTCATTAATTTTGATATGCTAGACGAGTATATTGATATGAAGATCCGCTTTACCTCATGTAGGGAATTCCCATGCAATTTGTTTACATTTATTTACTTTATTCTTATCAATTTAATTTGAACTTTTCGTCTTAATCTTTATTTTGCACAGATTGCTAAGACGATTAAGAATTCACAAATGGATTTTTGTATGTCAAATTGATTGGTTGTCATATTATTTATAAAATAAATTAATTGTTTGACGAACTAAATAAACTAATTAGATACTTACTTATAACCGATGTCATCATACTCCAAGTCCGTCATCTGATAATTTTGTATGCCTTGAATAAGTTCAGCACATTCCACAAATGTGGAGCATGGATCTGATGCAGTGTGATGAATGACGACATAACGAATCGGACGCACCTGATAGGTGACGTCCGTTGCGGCTTTGCCAGCCCATTGATTTTTTGTCTTTATAGTTGGGCAGTTATTTTTTGCAGAACCAACTAAGCTACATACCGTCATCACAAATAAAAATACTCCAAATATTTTTAACATATTTCAATAGTTTTAGAGATTAAACAGCGAAAAAATTAGCTACTGAACTGCTTGAAAAATTGATTAAAACTGTTTTCTGACTTAACAAAGCATTGGACGAACTGAGATACTTTAAATGATAAGCAAGTTTATGAGTAATATTTTGTTTTGATTTTTTTTTTTATATAATGAGAAGTGAAATATTATGTTCTTTTAAGAAAACAAAAAATATATTGACAGCTAAAAAGAGTAAAAAGAGAGGATTATAAAGAAATTAATCTTATAATATAAATTATACACACGTAATGAGAAATTATTAAAGACATATATCTATATGATGGATAAAATCATTGCTATAAGATACTTTATTTGCTAAACAATGGCCAATGGCGTATGTTTTATGACATATGTAATAACTATTACTCTGTGAAACAATGGTGCCGATATATTGCCTCGTTACTTCTAGGTTTACAGAGAAATAGCAACGTTTTTTATGAATTTAAAGTACACAATTTGAAAAGGCAAATAAAATTTATAAGAGAAATTATTTAAAGTATTAAAATTCATTTGAACATTATACATTCATATACCAGCTCAGACCGTAATACCATATACTTAAGAAACCAGCAAACCAACAATAATAACAACACATAACTTGAGTGGCTAAGGACTAACCCCCCATCACTATCTGTACGTTAGAAGCCAAGTTATCTCAAATCAGTTCTTAAACCATTAATATACCAATATTAAATATGTTTTATTGCTCGTTTTCCACTCTGCTATATAATTACAAGCCTCATAATCCGTCTATCCGATTTCTCAGGACTATATTTGAACTTACAAATCCGTAACTATTAACAAAATCAAAACTAAGGAATTTTGTTTATTTAGTATTATCCTCCTTTAAGTCTTACGGGACTTACAATTCTGCTCTATTTCATTTCAAATAGAAAACTGATTTCACTCAGCTTTAAGATCCTTATTTTACATCCACAGATGAGTGTTGAGCGCATAACTGTCTGAACAGTACCTGTTTTCAGTTCCGTACACACGTCTTTATTAAAAGAGTATATTTCAAGACTAATTAATTATGTATATTTGGATCTCCAATATTTGGTTGATGTAACACCTTAACTATGAAAAAACTAATATGCTAAAGTAAAAAACTGAAAAAAACTTCAGTTCCCTAACACTAGGTAGTGGACCAAATTTAAATTTTTTCTGCCAACTGCAAGTATGTTAGATCTATTTGGTGAAGAAGAACAACTTATCTCCAATAAATTTTTCATTTCGATTTTTTACAATTGAATTATGTTATAAGCCTGCAATTTTTCAAGCTTATTCTTTTTATATAATAAAATATTCAATTTCTTTTGGAAAATACATATTTTTTATTTTTTTCAAACAAATAAAAAATGCAATTACTTATAGTTTAAATAAAATCTATCAGTTCTACATAATTAATATTATATTAATATGACTTCTAACTTCATTAAAAAAAAATTATAACTATGTTTCTAAAATACATACATACACAAATTTATGAAACATCTATTTTATTAAACAACTATTAGATCACTCACAATATCTATGGGTTTGGTACCCAATGTTCCCATTTTTGTATTTCATTATACAATGTAATTCCGGGACTTTTTGTTGCTGAGACTTGAGTTGCTCCTAGAAGTTGATATTGTTTATCCAATTCTCCTCTTTTCACACCACATGATAGTAATTTCTTAGCAGCATTTAGAGCAGATCGTGATGGTAATTTCTCTACAAAATGTAATACAAAGATTTTAACATAATGAAATGTATAAATATTTTTTATATTAAATATATTTACCAATAAAATTTCCAATGAATGCTATACCCAATCCTTTCGCATTATAACCATAAGTGTGTGCACCACTTTTACCCCAACCTCTACCTTCGTAAACAGTGCCATCACTAGCGATCATGAAACTGAAAAAATGACATAAAAGAGATCTATTAGTATTAATTAAAAACGTTAGGATGAACTATCGCCTTACATAATAGGGAATTTACTCTAATAAAACTTGTGGATTTTATAGGAAAGAGAAAAACAATTTAAAAGACGTGCTAGAAGTTTATCCGGTACTAGATGAACTATCGCCTTACAAAATAGGGAATTTACTCTAATAAAACTTGTGAATTTTGTAGGAAAGAGAAAAATAACTCAAAAGACATGATAGGAGTTTATTCAATACTGAAATATAAGCAAGCTTTAGATAAAGAAATAATACCCACTAGAATAAGTACTCATATAAAACTATTATATAATTCATCGAGAAAATTGACTTGAAGAAATAGTCTGATTCCATGAAGATGGCACAATAGATCTCTAGATCGCAGTATTATCCTAATGTTCCTTATATTCACTTATCATGAGAAAATAACGAAGATGAGTATAATTTTAATCTTTTTCTTATTAACTTTTTGTGAAATGCAGAATCTTTTATTTAACTTCTTATAACACGATTATATGTAAGTAACACCATTTACGAATCTCTGAACCTATCAAAACCTCGCATAGGTGTTTTTAAAATATGTAGTTAATATTAATAACGATGAAATATACATAATATATATTTTTAAATAATATTGTTAAAGTATTATATATATAAAATTATTTTTTGTTTATATATATTCAATTTAATTTATTCTTTTATTTGTGACCAAAAATATTATATTATAATTTATTAGCGGGCTAATTGGTGATTGGAAAAATATTTTAATAAAATATAATTTATTTTTTAAATATAAATCATAAATTATAGTTTTTTATGTCTATTTAAATGACCAATTAGCCCGCAATTTAATTATTATATTAAATTTAAAAAAATAATAATAGTCACAAACTGTTATTGATGATGAACGTTTAAAAGTTTCCGAAATTTATTATTTGCAAAGTCGCTACAATTTTTTTCCAAAAGCTAATGAACTGTACTGTATGACCATAAGAGATTTAAGTATATTTACATTAGCCATGGTTTCAATCGAAACCTAACCAACAACTGCATGATTATTGTCTCTCGCATAGACCTTCTCTATCCCTGACATTTCACTTTGACTATGTGGTTCATTCTTTCTTCACCAATCCACTATTCAATCACTTTACAGTACTCGTCCTTAAGACTTCACTCTTAATGAATCTCAACTATTGTTCTAATATCTTACTTCCGGACTTTATAGAGTTCAAAGTTTTAATTTATAGAATTCGGACGCTTTACTTTTTGATGAATGAAACTCACTTATATGCTATATCATCGAATTTTTGTGTTGTCATTTGTGAATGTTGCATATTTTGCAATAACTCAGAACATTCAGGGAATTTTGAACACTCTTCCGTAACGGTATGATGAATTATCACAAAATGAACGGGTTTGACTTGGTAATTCACTTCATTTGCAATTTTAGCGCCCCATTGGCGTTTAGATTTCATACGCGGGCAATCACTACGCGGAGATGTTGCTACTAAGGTACACAAAATTCCCAACCAAATTAACAAAACTTTATACATTTTTATTTAATTCAAATAATGTTAATTAATTATTAAATAAGCGAATTTTTCGTCTATTTTACACGGTACTCGTCTTTTATTTAACAATCAAATTCAATCTTAACTGTTTGGTTTGTATTGTTGAACTAAATCTATGAAAGTGCAGCTTATATGATTTTATTCTAAGCTTCAGATATTTGAGTATCTTAATTTCAATAATATATGCATTGTTTAAACTGATACTCAGGTTACTCATTTGCTTATGTAGAATCTCTTAAATATTAATATATTATTTAAGTGCAAATTTCAAGCAAATCTCTTTAGTCATTAACAGGTTATATTTTTTACGGATTTTAGTTTATTTGATGAATAGTAGTAATTCTGAAGAGGCACGCTACACTTAAGTTACGATTTATTTAAAGAAAGGTCTTCATAATTTTCTAAATATTTATCCATTAAACTTTAATAGATAAAAAACCTTAAAGAGGAATATTTACAATGCAATAAAATAAGAATTAATTATGATTCACACTCTGTTTTACTTTTAAAAGATCATATTTTGTATAACTACCAAAAACATCGCAATACCTGAATAGCTGATAGACAGAAGGAGACAATATCCATGGGTGAAACAATGATAAATTTGGTGAATTTATCTCCAAGCAAGGATCAAATAGTTTTACACGTTGCAACCAAGAACCTAAAGCGGTTAATCATTAATACTATGTTCTTATAATAAAAACCAGAACCTTAATTTCGTCTTTAGAAAATAGATATGAAATGCTTACGCTATAATATATATTACAGGATATTAATTTTATTTATACATAGTCATGGGTAGTTCATTTATATATTTCAATCTTTCCTATATAGTTCTACACAAACATATCCAATTTAATTGTTGTTACAAAACAAGACTTAATGCTATAATAAAGAAGAAGAAGAAGACTATATAGTTCAACAGTTCATTTTATTGGAGTGAAGAAAAATGTTTCATTTTTATGTACTCTCTATATCAATAATTCTTTAAAAAACAGAATATCAGAATACTCTTATAGTGGAATATTTTACTAGAAATTGAAAAAGAATGAGTACTCTTATAAGTACTTATTTTTATTGTTTAGTATAGTTTGTTTATTAGAACTCAATTCCATATTTTTCTGATGATTGTTGTCATCAGCCAATCATTAAATCTCAGTGTTCTAATATCTAAGACCAGAGCTCCTTTTTTTTTGACAATAGTGATGTAGTCCGTAATATTTTTGTTGTAATATTCTTATCATATGATTTCTATCTGGCAACACTAATAAGCTTAATATACTTTATAGCATTTTTCGTTCTAATGTTATAAATCAATATTTATCAACCAGATTTTTACTCACTATTGGTTATATTTTATGGAAGATGTGATATAACTCATATATTGATATTAGTATATATTGGTGAAATTGGTAAAATTATCTGTACAAGTCCTTTATGAACTCCTCAAAATAGTGCTATATTCATATACTTTTTAAGCTTGAACATTCGAAGCAAACTTCATGTGAATGAACTATTAAATGAAAACACTGAACTAGTTCATTTTATGTAACGAACTATAGTATTAATATACTTATATTTACCACTAGGCTAAACTGTTACTAGGCTAACATATAGAGTGACTATCGAAACAACTTTGTCAACATAAAAACAATCCACTCAAAATTTCCATTAAGAACATGCAAAAAGAAACACTTTTTTTTTTGAAATAAAATAATATTATTTAAATTCAAATATTTTTTATCTAAAGCTTAAGTAGTTTAATTTTTTTTTTAAGTAAATAACTCAAGACTTGCCTTTTATTGACACAAGTCATTAACATTAAAACTTAATTGTTAACTCATTCATGAGAGTTCTTGATGAGTGTATAATTCTATGTTCTTCCCCTCAATCTTTAACCACAAAAAAAAAAAAGATATAGGATCTTTTCATTTTTGTATACAAATTTTTATGAAATAAAAATTGTTTCTAACCAGACTTAAGTTGAATCATTCATCAATTTCAAGTAACGTTCCTTCGTTTCGATTGTAACATCAAGTTGGAACACCCTTTTTTTTATTTGTTAAAGTATATAATCACCAATCGAAAAAATTTTGAGGGGAAATTATTTTATCTAGTGGTCATTAAATTAAATTTATTGTACATTTAATAGCGTGACTATATTTTAAATACATGTTAATAAATTATTTTAAAAATATAAATCATTATATCACATTCAAACATATATAAATTTGATAATAATTTTATATATATTATTTTTATTCTAGCCATTTATGTACATGCAAATAGTATTTAATTTAATGTTTATTTAATTCATTAATATAAAACATTTTGTTTTTAGTATATATATGAATTTATTAACTAGTTTATTTCTATTTTTGGTGAAATTATTATGAATAATTTAATAATTCATTTTTACGATCCGTAATATTGTATTTAATTAATTTTGTTCTGATTTAGAATGACGCATTCTGCAATTTTATTTAATAATTTGAACATTCATGAGTAAAATATATTTCCAATTTTTTTAAAAAAATAACTAAATTGTTGGTAATTAAAAAATATTATTAATGCCAATACGCAAACGAATAGTAACAATAATTAATCTAGCAGAGTTAACCATAAAGCAAAACCACAATTAAGCTTAAACGCGAAACTTAATCTACCCGCCTACAAATAAATAGGAATATTAGGCTTAAGAAACCCACAAACATAATTTTTATTTTATATGATATCCAATAGTCCGGATAGGTCAAAAGAATAAAAAAAATTATTTGAAGTTTTTGACAATCAAAATACATCATCCATATAGATAGTTAAGTAGCAATTAAAGTAATTACCTTACTACATCCACAAGTTCTCTAAAAAGCAGGGTGGATATAGAAACGTTGGCCTTAAATATACGGCTCCATATACATTGAGTACCGAGCCATAAAGACATTGAAAAAAACCAAATTTCAAATAAAATTGACAAAGCAGTACTTTAGCTTAGTGCTGACGAGTCACACTAAACTAGTGGCACTTGGATATAAGACAGGAATTACCCATACCAACGTATGCAATAGCGTACACAGAGCAGGGAATAATGTAAGCTTAGGATCATCTCTTATATTTATGTCCTACCCTATAGCGAACATTTTTGAAATGCTGAGGGATTCTACAGTTTCGGAAATTCGCTGACGTTTAAGATATGAAACATCAAGTACTACATGTTGTTTTTTACTGATTAGCGTAGAGGGTAAGATGCATTTGGTGGCACTAAGTTTTAAAACATCTCTGTGCTGCTTACAGCTAGTCAGATCAACTTAACCTAACTTGACGTGATGTGTGACAGGCCTCGGTTTTGCTCAAAACAAACTAAAAACTCTTAATTTATACTGTTGGACAGATTTCCTTGTTATTAAAAGGATCTCAACTCTTCATATATATATTGTAAGATACATTTAATATTATTGTTAGTGACTTTATTGGAAGATCATTGAGGCCTTGAGCAATGAATTGATGTTAACATGAATAAAAACGATTATTGTAATTGATATCTTAAATATTATATTGATTCTAAATAAAATAAATAAATATGCATTATGTAGAGTATCTTTATCTTCGTTTTTGTATTTATTCACCTATATCCTTATCTCCCTAGGTAACGGATAGCTTTGTTTACTTTTAAATCCTGCGCAACACCTGTAAGTCTTTTTAATGGTGAATATTTGTATCTATCGAGACTGTTAACAATAGGTTAAAAGCTTTAATAAGTTACATTCAATATATTAAATATTTCATAGCCTGCAAGGTTGCATTTAAATGTAGGAACAGGCTGCATGTGCGCTGCACATGTGCCGCTAGTGTTTTCAATGATGGGCATCAAAAAGTATAGAGTAAATTATCCAAGCAGAACAGAATGGATCCATATGACTCTAACCAGTCTGCACTAATAGCAGACGCAATTTTTGGTACTTCATTGAGCACTATCGAGTCTAGTAGGGTATCACCAAAATTATTCGGTTGACTGCGCAAGGGTAATGAGCAAATGAAATTCCGATTCCTTTTCTACCTTTTTCGACTTTGAGTAACTGAAACTATTGACTTGTCACTTCAGTTTGAGTTCGTCTTTTGTCTGAAAACGGTGTTTTAATCGGCATAAATATCTTTTCAATAAATAAATAAACTTAAAGCGTATATTATCAAATTACAACAGTGTTATTAAATAATTGTGATTTATGTAATATATAATTAAAAGAAAAAAAAAATTAGTTTTAATTAAAATTTCCGACAAAATGATTTTAAATATGCCAACAAACATTGGTAATACAAATCCTACATTGGATTCGTCGGGACACGGTCTGTCGTGCGAATACAATTTCTTGAAACGTAAACTTGATAACGAGGACACAATGCCAAATCTACAACAACAAATCAGCACGAATGACATAAATGCAACAACAATAATGTACCAGGACACAACAAATAATAATAGCATTTGGAAAAAACGTCACTTGGAAGATGAAATCACACAATCCACAAATACAGCACAAAATTGTTATAATGAAAATGATTATAGCACAAGTAACAATCTAAATGAAACATATGAGACCGGGAATGGCCTACTAAACACAGATACAAATGGAATTCAAAACAGTGCCGATATGACATTCAGTTTGATCAGTAACTCATTTATAAATGATCTTTTCGCCTATGATGCCAATTTAATTGTGCCAGTTTCAGTATCTCCCGCTGCTATTCCAAATGATAACACTAATAATTCCAATATGTGTGCTACTTCAGCAGCAGCAACATATAGCACGCCCACAAATGTATGTGCCAGTAATAGTTTTGATGATGGCACAAACTGGCAGGCTACGGATTTACTAGAACTTGACCATCGTTACAATTCCGGTCTGCAAACCGACATAACACATTTGAATCCAACAGTTCCATTAAAAGATGTGACACAGGCTACAATACCGTTATCCAGTCCACAAACGGAACTTCAACAACAACAACAACCACAGCAACAACATCAACAACGAATTGATTCAACTTTTCTAGTGCCACAAAAACAATATTCCAGACCTCAAGCCACAGCGCATATGAAATACCGTCAGCAGCAAAATTTATCTCAAGCGGAAATCAACAATAAAAATGACACCGAAACAGATTTCGAGGATAAAAATTTATCGTGGCTTTTGAATTTTAAGTTTGATGAGTTACCACATCTCTCACCGGATCTTAATTCAAATTCCCAAAGTATTATTAATGCTAATAACTCAAACAGTTGCAAAACAAAAAGTTCATCTCCCTCAATAAGTCAAAGCGAGTGCTCACGTTCTCCAAAATCGAAAGTAGGAAAAAAATTTGAAGAACTTGTACTGGAAGCCACCTCAGAAATGGATGCTAATGATTTAGTAGTTTCTGAACATGTTACCATTGAAGATTCTTCTTTTAGAACGTAAGTAGTACTTCATTGACAAGGTTATCTGTAATTATTATAAGGGTCTAGAATATATATTTTCATTTTACAGCAGTAACACAATCTGTTAAAACTCTTTTAGAATACGAGTCTATATCTCCCATATAGACGTATTTACAATAGTTCGCTTCAAATCTACTGCAATTTATTTTTTTGGATAAGATAAATTTAAATTTTATTTTCAAACATTGATCTATAACAATAGATGCCCTAATGAAAGCTTCGTTTATTTTATAAAAAAAAGTGGAAGTTAAGGGTATCAAAACTTTACATTAGCAGTGATTAAAAGGTCTGTCACGAAAAACTAAAAACGTATGAAAAAAGCTTATACAATAATACCTTTTAACAGGTTCATCACACAGAATCGATAAAAAATATAATAATAATTTTTAAAATAATTTAATAATAAGATCTTTTCGTATAACCTTTTAAAACCACACATCAAGTGAGCATCAGGGATTATATCCCATTTATTAATTTCTTTTAGTTTAGTAATAATTATCTAAAAATCAGTTTTCTGTTATATTAGGGCGCATTGATATCGCTTTGGATTTTTATCTAATTCTTATCTGATATACGAATATATAGTCATACATATACCAACTGACACCTGTACAAATAATTCTGTTGGGCTTTGAAACTGATTTTTTTAACAGAAATTACTATTTAAAACACTACACAACATAAAGTAGAATATCGCTTTATTTTCCAAAGAACGTATAGAAGATATTTTACACCTTTCAAATATTAAACTATATATATATAAGCTTCCATTTTTTTAAATGTACTAGGATTTTAAGAAATTTTCGATAGTAATAGGGGATATCTATTATTGTGTTTTTTAATTCTTTCCTACTTAATAAGTAAGTCTGCAAAATTCTCAATCAACTTACTACTACTTTTTTTTGCCAAAACTTTGTCAGTATTATAATTAAAAAAAAATTTTTGAAACCATTAGTACATATGCTTCATTTTTATAGTTTTTTTTTTTGACTTTATAATCCTAAGAAGTTCTAAGTACAAAATTATCCATATTGTGCAACCCCTCTTGAAAGAAAATGGAGCGATCTCATTGAACTATTGCAGATCATGTAGTAGTATATTCTACTACTACTTAGTATAGTCTTATAGTAATATTCTGGAAGGGTAACTGGCGGGTAGGTTCCAAAATTGGGTATTCTCTTTAAAGAATCTTTTCCCAGCTGTGGAAATCTATCTTTACATCTACTTTGTCATTGTCCAACACATTCGTGCTGTACTTTAAGTGTAACGTAATTTGAGTATGCTAGGGACTCAGTTTCCTATAAATCATAAAACGCCATAACGCAGCAAAAGATCTCTTTTCTCTAAAATTTCTTCCAGCTTTTTCAAGAATTCGAAATGATTTTAAATCTTAAGAGATATATATATAAACACAATAAGTTTGAGCATGCTAGGGACTCAGCAGCAAGAGATCTATTTTCCGTAAGATCTGTTTAAGCTTTTTGAGAGACTTGAAATGATTTTGAATCTTAAGAGATATATATAAATATATATAAACACAATAAGTTTAAGCATACTAAGGACTCAACAGCAAGAGATATCTTTAAGCTTTTTTAAGAACTCGAAATGATTTTAAATGTTTACCGATTTATATGCAAACACAATAAGACCTGGTGATGCACACAGTTTATAGGCTTATATCACACTTCTATTAAACAAATTAATATGAAATAGAAATGTCTATTCTGAGCAGTTTTTAACCCTTTATTCAAACTTTTTTATGCTTTCAGAATAATAATATTGTTACTATTTGAGAAAGGAATAAGTAAAGTCTAGTGGATCAGATTTAAGTTGACAGTACAATCATATTTTATTTATATATATATAATAAATTTTTTTGTTTTTAAATATTTATTCCCTAATAAGTCTTTATTCTCTTTAATTAATGTACTGGAAAGAAATTTGAATAGTAATTTTAGTATGAACTAAAATACAAAATGGAGCATAAAACTAACCCCATGAAATATTTTCTTCTTTTACATTTCACCACCTCCTCAACGTGTTCTCAACGTGCGACTCCCACTACTACGAAATCGTACAATGTGAAAGCAGGCCAAAGAAACCACCATTCACATACACCGAACTCATCGAATACGCCCTCGAGGACAAGGGTGAATTAACAGTCTCTGGAATTTATCAGTGGATATCGTAAGTATTAAAGCTAAACTAACCTTTTTATATGAAATTATGCGATTATATGCATGCAAGTCGGCTATAATAAAATTTATTTGAGTGGCAAGTAGGCGCAAAAAAGAGGAGCACAATACCGTGGACGCCATTTTGTAAAATGGTGTTAGGCATGTGCGAGTAAAAGCGGAAAACGGATGTAATTAAACAAATCTAAAGAATTTGCTCGTCTTTTTAGCTTTGATTTTTCTTTCATTTGCGTGGCAAAGAAAAGGTTAAGGAATTTTAATAGAATTTATTCTAATTTTTTTTTTTTGCTTTATTTGTTTACATTTTATTTTTGTTGTTGTTGTTGTGGTTGTTGTTGCAGCGGTTGTTAACGTTTCGATTTCAATTTGTTGTGTAAATAAATGTAAATAATTTATTGTTTACATAAAATACTTTGTTATTTTTACTAATAAGATTAAAGCAACAAGTAATGATATTTTTAAAGAGGGGAACTTTAAAAATTCAATTTTATTTATAAATTGAAATGCAACATTTTTTTAACAGATGTAGTCTATTTATAATTTCTTTATCAATTTATTTATAAATAATGAACTTAAGAATAATACATACATTCTGATTAATGTACATTATTTAAAGGCTTTGTTAAAAAATTTTAATCATACATCAGTGTACACAATATTCTCCACAGTCATTGTTATTTGTGCTAACACTAGAGCTCAACCAAAGCTATTATCCAGTGGAAGTCCAAAACCTTGAATAATTCTATCCGATTTCTTATAATATTCAAGGAACGAAGTAGTCAGCTACTTCAACTAAGGCGAAACCTGCTCAGCACCACGGAAATAGGAAGACATGCTATGAGACTGGGTCTACCCTATAATGATTTTATTCGAGGTTGTGTCTCTGAGTATGAGAAGGTAGAAGAAGATTAAAAATCTACAGATCCATTTTTCTCACCGATCTTACTGAGCTGTCATCCTGTAATGTTAGGGACCTAGCCAAGTTTATAGAACTGTCAGGTTAATTTTCCTTTACCTAATGGGATACTCGTTATCTTTTTCGGCGTTGACTGTATACTGATTTAATGGACCATCATTTGAGCTCAAGTTAGCTTTTTGGAAACAAGGTCGCCACTCCAATCACCATTACAATTCCAAATTATTAATCTAAGTATATGACTAAAGTCATCTAAATGCCGCAGTAAAATATAAATGGCATAACTATATTGTTCCATGTTACAATTTTATTCATAGAAACAATTTGAGGAGTGCATCATTGCCTATAAGACTATAAACCAAATATCCTAACTATATTAAACTCGAAGTTGACTACTAATTCTCAGAGTTCGGTATTCGATTACAAATAGATTGTATCAGTACATTTAACATTTTCACATACTACATTTATACTACAGTTTAAAGACGCCGAGATACAGTATATTAACATCATCAATCCGATTTTCTAGCTTTAATTTTTATGAAAAAATTTGAGATGATGTTGGATAGACTTTCCTCCTTGTTAAGGAGCGAGGCCTATATAAACCTTTGCTGTTCTTTGAATCACAGCACCCCGTTGAAAAAAAGCAACTTTATATTAAGTAAAAGCATAAATGCTAACATCCTTGGTACGTAATTTAAGTTGTTAATCATAGCCACCACGGCACTCCCTTCCAGAAAAGCGGAAATTGTGAGCACCTGGACCTGTCGTACCTGAATTCACCTGTGCTGAAGTGTACGTTGGAGTTATATTTTAACTCCAAGCTTAAAGGGAGTGAAAATTGCTGCTTGCTAGCTCATTAACCACAACAAATTTTGATGTTCTAGCATACCATCAAATATCCAGATAATCAATGTTTTGCTAGCCCAAAGTATATATGACGACCTTCTTGGATGTATTGACACAGAAGTAGTTGGTTTTATATTAGTTGTAATACAGACTCTTATTACCATTGTTTCCAAATGGTTTATTTAGACTTTGTGTCGATAATCGCGTGGAATTCAAATTAAAGATTAAATTTTATATAAAATCCTGAGCTTTTTAAGTCTTTTGCGAAATAAGTGAGAGAAAAATAAGAGTTGCCACTCATAAAAACTTCTTCATATAATTGATTTTCTACTATATTTTATAATGTATAATGTAGGCAAAAAAAACTTAACCTCAAGAAATGCACATTTTCTGACTGACCAAGCGTGGTCATCACTCCATAAATGATCAATAAAAAAAGTTTAATATATCTCATAACCGAATTGAATAGTTTTAAAATGCTAATATCATTTTGAGAAATAAATTATTAGCTACATGTGCGCTTACCGGACAATATCCTAAACCATATATGCGTAAATAGCCAATAATGAAGTTTCAATGCACTTTGAAAGCAATTGCATGCCACCTGATCGAAGTGCATTCATCCGTATAAAAGGTGTACTAAACGTTGGCATGAGTAGAGGACGTCAACGTCACGTGGCGGTCGAAACTGCCAGAACGCCTTAAACGTCGTGGTGTTATAACCCATGAAAGCTACCTGTTCCTGTAATAAAATTGCTCACCCCTAATATTAACTATGCTAATGCTTGAGCATTTCAACTGCATGCTACGTACTAGCAGTATTTTTAATATCGAAGAAAATTCTTATGTTTTTGTAGTAAAACTGTGATGACGCTATGAACAATTCATAATTATTATGAGAAACATTTAACTTATAAATTTCATGGGCAATTTCCAAATCATGCACACTGCCAAGCAGTCATAATACTCCTACATCAGGAATAGAGTGATGGGGTGTGGTAATGTGGCAAAAGGATATTTGTATATAAATTTGTATTTGAGCCGCAATGTCTATTTGTAAATGGTTAATGAAAAACTTGATAAATTTATGTAGAGAAAAGTTTCCTAGCGTTTATTACATTTAAGCAGTTTAATTGTGGGTGGGCAATGGTTTTGCAGCAGGTGGCATTGGTATGAGCATTACCGATTAAGAGTGGAACTTTACGAGTTCGGGACAAATTATACAAATTTTCCCATTTTATAAAAGTAAATTGTATATACGTATTTTGCACGCAATATTATTTCTTCTTTGCATGTTTCTTTAAATTAATAGATTTTCGTATAGTATATTTCATATAAAAGTAAAAATCTGTAAAAATCGGAATACGCCTTGAAGTTACTAAATATTATGAAATAGTTTTATATCAGTGCGAAGAATACGTAATTGCTTAATTTAAATATAATTAATATTTACAACTTGAATAACAAATATTTAAAAATTATTTTTTTGGATTAAAGCTAAATAATTAATAAAAAAATTAAGTGTAGCTTTATTCGAATATACCTACTGTGACATCAGAAACATTGATTATAAATCTAGTAATGAGATGACCCAGGCTTTCGTTGTACACGTAATAAAGATTATAGAACATAAAGTTTAAGACGAAAATTGCAAAGCCGATTCGTTTTCAAGATAGATTACAACTATGTCAATTCTTCCATATAGATTGACATGCCAAATAAATTATGGAAGCTTAGAAATACATTAGGTCTTACCTGTTCAACTTACCTAGTTCAACTATGTTGAAAGGGCATTCAGATTCATATAGAAACAATGTAGAATAGAACCAAGTTGGTGGGATATGTATCAGATTACAGAGATACATGTAATGATATCAGATCTTAAATTGATAGATATAATACCGTTATACTACATACCCTAAATTTACAGCAATTCTAGAACGATGGAAAAAAGATAAAGAAAAGGAAAAAAAAACAAAGAAAGATAAAGAAACACAATCTATCATTTCCTAAAAGACCAAAAGATAATGCTGGATATTGATTGTTTGAGCAAAGTTATCATTAACACTAAATTCAGGGTTTCCTCTTTTGATGGTTGCTTTTTTTAGTATGTAATGTTACTTATGTTACTAAGTAATATCATATAAGACTTAGTTTCTAATAGCGGTTTATATATTATTTATGACGTATTCAAAATAAATATTCAGAAAAAATTGGAGTAAAAAAGACCGAAAAATGCAAAATCCAAGAGATCTACCTGTTCACTTTGAAAATGTACTGTTTGATAATGCTTATTACTGGTGCCATACTCGTCCGAAACTAGACCGTAAACAATAAGTCGTCATTGAAAATTCCAGCTTCACAAAGAAAGAGTGAGTGCGTTGATAGTGAAATAAATTGTTATTTATTCAAAATAGTTATAGAAAATTTCCAAAATTTCCAAAATAGACATCCTAAAATGTTACCATAGTACTATATATCAAAAAAATTGTTGTTTCAATTTGAAATTTTCCATCTCTTTAAAAAAAGACACCATGGTTCTGCAAAGATAAAGAAAGATAACGATCCGTCATATAGTTTATCAATATACTGATGTGATTAGATCAATTTATCTAGTTGGAAAGATCACAACTATTGGTAACTATATACTAATCTCTATTTGAATGCTTAAATTTGCGTTTAAATAAACACCCAGAATCATGAACATGAATTCATCCCATCATGAAGATCAGAAATTAATCACTTTTATATTATCTTCCATAAAGTGTGTGCCAGACTTCTTGATAAATTTTAAACTCTTTTCTAGTACTTAGGTGTTAAAAAATAAATAGACTTCTTTAAAGAATTCAAAAATATTTTATTTTAATGTGATTTGTAACACATTTCATTGGTCAGATTACAGATAGTGCTCTATATATATTCGATTAAATACTTTCTTTCATTGTCCATAAATATCAATAACAAAATTATATCCATGTCCACGTTGACTTTTGAGGTGTAATACGACATGGTCTGTGCTTGGTCCACCACTTTTTAAAGTAGCATAACCGCCATCGCCATCGGTATATTGATCAGTAACCACAATTTTAGTGATGGTACGTGGATGACTAAAACGTGGTGGCTGTAAGGATGATATTGGAGTAAAGACATAATATATAGTCAACAAAATCTGATACATACTTTTTGTTTGAATTCGTAGTCATAAGAAACAATGCGTAGTGCCTTAAATTTTTCTGTAACAATGTCTCGGCTTAATAATACATCACGTGTACTTCTTGCGCCCCACTCTGCATTATGGCTCAATGCGTTTTGAGCACTATTGCCTAAAGCTATCAATAAAATAATGAAATAAAACACCAATTGAATTTTTTGCATTTTTAAAATAATATTTAAACTTGTAATTGATTTATGTATCTTTAACAAGGCTTAAAATCAAACTAAAATAAAATTTAGCTAAGTTTTAGTATTAAATTAAATCGTGCCTCATACATTTTTGAAGCTGTTATCAACAACTTCCGTATAAGTTGTTTTATCTTTTGAAAAATATTTTGCTAACGAGAAAAAAATATAAATAAAAATAAAAGTAATTATTTGCCTCATAAATGCAAATGAAAATTTAATTTTATAGGAATATATCTTATATAGGAATATATATCTTATATAAATTAATTGTATGGATGCCTATAGTTTCATGTCTGAAGAAGTATTACACCATGGGTAGCGTTACATTCCAGTAATGTTCAGTAATGATCATAACGAACTGTTGAATAAGTAGATATTATGGGAACAAGCTTCACTGTCACTCATTTCATATCCAAAACATTCATAAAAATCACTTCGCATAAGTCGTATGTCTATTTCTATTCCTCTAACTATCTCTCTAATAATAATTTTTATATTATCAAACATAATCTGTAAATTTTTTCGAAATGTTTGGAATTGATGAATATTTTAGATAAATAAAATAATTCTAGATAAATAAAAACAACTTGTCAGATCAGTAGACTCACCCAATCCAAATTGAACAAAAATCAGTACCTGCCACCTGCTTCAACTCAAGTGGAAACAATAATACGACATGGATGTTTGCAGGTCAACGCGTTTTGGAAAGGCATGCAAAATGACTTAGCCTATCCTTTAACCGCTTTTTGAAGATTATGAGAACTGTGCTGATTACTTGTTGGCTAGAAGAAGTTTCAAAATCTTTGGAGCTTCTTTTTTAACTAGCAGAGCTTAACTAATCATTTCTAACTATTAGTGGTCTGACTAAGTTTATAGACTTGTTAGATGGATTTCCTTTCGCTAAAATGAATGGCTTTTGCCTTCTCAAAGGGGTGGTATTCGTGCGCTACATATTCTGAACTTTCACCTTTAAGGTAGTCCTTCAGCTCTGCGAACGAACAGTGGCTTATAAATGCTAACACAACCGATCAATATTTGTGATCAAATGAGCTTTGATGTAGAAGGCTGTAAGTTCAACCTAAATAACCCTAAAGGCTATTCATAGGTAAAGGTAAATAATTGCGAAATATGAAAAATTATAATAATTACCAGCCTTAATCTTTACTCTAGGTGTGCCTCAGTTGATCCGAAATCCAAAACCCCTTTTTTTAAGTATAGACATCGATAAATCTTCTCTCTCTCGCTTAAATTCTTCTAAGCCAAGCTACAGAGATTTTAGGATTTCGCTGAATAGCTTTGACGCACTAATCTTGTTGCATTTGGTAATACTCGTATAGTGAATATAAAACCCTCTATGTATATCAGTGTGAATATCTTCCCTAGGAAGATGTTTTTTATGAATGTCTTGTGTACAAGTTTTCTCTTAAAAATAATATATGGTTTTTTTTAAATTTCTACAATTATTATATATACATATCTCTAAATATACTACATATATCAGTACTAGGTAGTAATACAATTTATTACTTCTAGATTTTAATAAAAATCTTTTACATATAAAACTAAAATTAAAGTTTTGTACTGATTGCGTTCAGCCGTCCGTTTTTAAACCCCAAAATGGATGCCACAAGAAGACATATAAATTAAAAACATTTTTCCTGTGTCTGAATGAAAAACTACGAAACAACAAATCATAAACCAAACCACCAATCCAACTACTACAAATAAGAAAATAATTTTTACATATAAAAATTTATGAACTTACTCCACTGGAAAAGCGACTAGAGTCGATTCAAAAAGTCTAGTATAAAAAAAAAACAATGTAATCATGAGAGGTATTATATTTAGTAGTTGGCCGTGCCAGCCCGTTCCTGGTGCAAGCACAAAAGCAAGCATTCACAAATAGTCAGCCAGTAGTTTTGCAGTCTCCGATGTCTAGTCGAGTTCTCAGGCAAACGTAAACGTTCGACCATTGAAAGGTTTTTGGGAAAACTTTTTACATGGCATGGACACTGTAGTAACTAAAACGCGAGCACACCGAAACCAGAAATGGGCGGTGGGCGATGCGCTAGCCTGCAAAGTTTGAGAAAAATGTTGCAGTTACGCTAAATTGGTTTGTGCTTCATGCGCTCCAGTGTGGGGCACACGTGGCAGAGGTGAAGGAAGTTATTTTCTTCTCCATTTTTTTTTGTATCGTGTACAAAAATGTATTAGTAGCAACCAGTAGTTTTTGTAACCTAAAATGCAAACCCAATTTCTGTCAAATTGTCTCATAAATAAATACGAATAAATAATAGCGCATATTTGAATTCATTCTCAAATCCATTTGCAGTCAAATGAAGTCCTGACTAACTGACGTTCTTCCATTTCACTTTGTCACTGATATTGATGTTTTTTCCACACTACACAATACGTAGGTTCTCCTTCCATGTGTATATCAACAATACAATTTTCTGAAGTTCCCATTACTTACACCAGTACTTTTTGAAGTTGTTGGCTTCGTCATTATTTACTGGCATTTTAAAGATTGAAATACAATAATAAAAAATATTGAAATATCATACCTAACCATTAAAGTATCTGTGTATTATGTATATATATAAATATATATATATATATATATGTATGTAATAACCACCAGAAGCAAACAGTTGTATTTCTTTAATACAACTTATACACATATGTTATAAATATATTTTTACGTATTTCTCTATTTCCAGTAAATTTAGGTAAGAACTTAATACATTTATCTATGATTAAAGTGCTGTTGACATGCAGTTCTGCTTTCAGATCTGAAAATTGATAGGATTAAACATGCTCTTATACATACATAGGTTTATGCAGAGTAAAATTTACTCTTTATTATTGAATTAACATTATATTTAGCCAATGTTTAAAACTTCTACTCGAGAGTATTGTTACTTTTACCAGACCATGTTTTCATCGAAATTCGACTTCTAATAAAAAGTTTGTAGTTTGCTTAATATCTCTTCGAGAGGAATACGAATTATGACCACAAGAACTTACTTCACCACATACTATCTACCACAAACAACCTCGTCCATTTTTGATGTGAGTCCAAACTCCATCTAAACTCTTCAAAATGCTATCCACTTTATCGATTTTCCAACTGCATACACTTATTTGAAACCAAATAACGTATAAATCCTTCCAATTTAAATAGTATGATTTTGAAATATGAAATAAATATCATTCTTATACTGTTTTTACATATATTTTCTTTTATTTTTTTGATTTTTTGACTTCTCGAACACTAATTACACTACAAATCAAAGTACATGTTTTCCGACTAGAAAGAATATTGGTACATTGCAACCTCTAAAATCTATAAAGTTATTCTTGTAGAACGTTTTCTGTTCTAACTCGAGCAGAGCTTAGAAGTATTGTTGAATCATAAAATCATAAAATCGTACCTATTTCGGTACTACAAAAATTAATTGAAAACTGTTACCCTCTTTAAGTCTCGAACACAAGCAGAGAAAATGCATATAACACTGATTTATGTACCATGACTTATAAGATCTAGTAATGTGTTTCTGCAGAAAACTGTAGTCCCACAAGTTTCTCTGCTTTTTTTCTATGCTTTACTTGACTTGTACTGCTGACTTATACTGTACTGCAATATTGATAAATTAGCCAACTACGTTAAGAAATGGAAAATGAAACTCCATCAAGTAAGCATCAAGAGAATTCAAGGAAAATACCTGTGCCTAACATTGTACCAAAAGTTGATTTGAAAATTGGGTAAATCCAATTTTTACACAAACTCTATCTAAAGCTAAAATTTAACACGGAAAAGTAGAATGCTTATCTCTAATCAAACCTTCAACTCATCAAAAACTCAATATATCTTCTATCTAAACCTTTCAAAAGTTCTTCTTCTATTCTATACCTTTGCCTTGTATGTCTTTTAATTTTCTAAAGTTCTATACCGTTTCCTATCAACAAGAAACTATCAACAAGTACTGTAAGAATAAGGAGTTTAAGTTTTAAAGCAAAATAGTTGATCATTCTAACATTTCTTTACTCTGACAGAAGTATTCCAACAATAGCGTTATAATTTGCTGATAATGATATAGACGAATGGGTTTTCACTGAGTTGATCAAAAGAGATCCAGAGGAAGGAGTAAGATGGTAGTTATTATCAATTCCATTAAATCATTAGTTCAGTAATGATCTCTAACATAAACTTCTGACTGAAAAATTATGAGTGGACCTCGAATTGGAATAGGTAGCCCGAATGGTCATAATCATTATCATCATCCGTGACTATACAGTCCATGTAGAACCTAAGCCTGTTTAACAACATCCTTCCATTATTCTCTGTTTTTTGATTTGTTTTCCAATTTCTTATGTTCATTTCTTTTAAATCCTGTTACATACTCTCTTTTCATCATTTTCTTGGTCGCACTCTACGTCTGCTGGTTCCTACTTCGTTCTGACAAATCTTAAGCAGTACCCTCATATCATCCATTCTTGTCACATGTCCAGTCCATCTCAATCGCTGCTTTTTCATAAATTTGTTGATTGCATCACCTTCAGCTAGCCGTTCTAGCTCGTGGTTGTATCTTATGCGATACATCCCGTTTTCTTTCACGGGATCAAACATTTTTCTGAGTATAGGCTATCTTAAGATAGGTCATTCGTTTATGACTGTTATTCACAACTCGAATTCTTAATGTTTTTCTGTTTAAATATATTTATTTCAAATCTCATATTTTATTCGGAATAGTGATCACAAAAGCAAACTGTTGAAATTGGTTAATTCTATCTTATATTACTACAAACATATTTTAACATTAGAAATCCCTCTTTCAACAATTAACAGCACGCAATTTATATTTCCATTTAAATAATATAACGAAGTTCATAAAAAATTGAATTGAATAGTCATCTTTAATGAAGCACGGCTACAAGAACCAAAATTCTAGAGGCAAGTAATTCTGTATACTAAATTTAGGAAAAAAATACAAAAAATAGGAATTTTATTCGTTGC